TTAGTAGGGCTTGGCTTATCAATGGAGAACCCTTCCAGAGGTTCCGGCAGTTCAATCTACTAGACCAGGGATCGGCAAAATTTTGAGTCGGAAGAATCCAAAATTACAATTTACAAAATTTAGAAGTTTTTAAAGAGTCACAATTTTTTTTCTTTCCAATAGTAAATAGTACTCGTATAAATAATATTTATGGAACTACAAGGTAGGATCAATAAATAAGGTGAATTATAATTTATTAAAAAAATAAGAACGATATTAAAAATTAGGGCTTGATTTATTCAAAATAATCACCTTGGCTTTCTATACATCGTCTCCATCGTTCTGGCAACTTGTAAATACCCTCTTTATAGGCACTCTTAGAAAGCGTGTGAAAAAAATCTTGCGCCACTTTCTGGACATCTTCATCCGAGTCAAATCGCTTTCCCTTTAACTCCTTCTTTGGTAGTCCAAAAAGGAAATAGTCAGAGGGGCAAGGTCTGGACTATATGCAGGATGTTCTAAAACTTCAAAACCTAATTTGATGATTGTAGATACAGTTTTACATGATGTATGCGGCCTTGCATTATCATGAAGGAAGAGAACACCTTTACTAAGCTTCCCTCTTCTTTTGTTTCTTATACCGGGCTTTAGCTTATTTACAAGAATGTCACAATAAAGGTCGCTGTTCATACGTTGCCTTGAGGATAAAAAATCAAGACAGATTGGTCCATCAACATCCCAAAAAATTGTTAACAAAACTTTACCGGCCGAACGTTGAGACCTGAGGAACATGTAATTCGTCCATTTTTGAACTCGTTAACCCATTTATAAATGTTTTTTTTGAGACAAACAAGACTCACCATAGATATTTTTCATTCTTTGGCATATTTGAGATGTTTTAATACCTTCTGCATTCAAGAAACGAATAACTGCACGTTGTTCAAGCGTGGTGCAATCCTTCAAGGGAGCTTCCATTTTAGTTTATTTATAAGTCTCGCGCCGCGCGTGGGAAGAAAGAACAGAACACCTTAAATAGTCTCTCGATGTTATATTTTAATATTCTGTGGTTTAAATTATTTTTGCTTTTTTAATTTTTAAGAAATAAGATCATTCACCTTATTTATTGATCCACCTTTGTATTTTGAAATTACAAATATTTTCTCACAATGAGTTTCTTTTTATTAAAAAACGCTAGCTTTCAAGCTATTATCGCTCTTCAACGGGCTTAATAAAATAGCGACTTTATCCTACTATAAATATTTACAAAAACAAACGCGCGCAGTTTTTTGTAATTTGTTTTTGTAAATATTTCTGGTAGGATAAAGTCGCTATTTTATTAAGCCCGTTGAAGAGCGATAATCGCTTGAAAGCTAGCGTTTTTTAATAAAAAGAAACTCATTGTGAGAAAATATTTTTAATTTCAAAACCTTTTTACAATTTTATCATGAATAGAGATTTATGGAACTATATAAAGAGTCACAGCTTCACATCCAAAGAGCCGTATGTGGCTCGCGAGCCGTAGTTTGCCGACCCCTGGTCTAGAGCAAGAGACCAGAGTCTGAGAACGGTGGTTCCAAAGAGACGACGGAAGAAACGACCTACCTTGTTGTACCGTGCGGCAAAGGAGCCAGTCAGCAGGGAGTGGAAGATGATGATGGTTTCATCCAGGTCCCAGATGAAAATTCTCTCTAGCTGGTTGTCAGGGTCCGGGGAGGGATTGGCTGGGCGGCGGCAACGGCCCTTGGTGGACTTGGACCCTGCAGGACCCCCTTATTTCTTATCTCTTCTTCTACATTGACAATTCAATAAAACAATCCCTTGTATCCATATTAATGTGGAAACATCAGTCTTCCATAGAAGACTTTTCTTTGGAATGTGAAAAAAATAGTACAAATGTGACATTGTACTGGGATAAGATTCATAAATTAAGATTATCATATTCTTGCCTTTATTATTTTCTTTGTAAGCCTGATGACTTTACCTTAATGCTATATGTGATGAAAGAACAGGTTATCTGTGTTTAAGGTGTTTCGGATGGTGTCTCCCTTTCTCTAAATTTTTGTATTCATTCTTTCTTCACAACTAAATTGCATGCAAGAGGCTTGTATAATGGTAGTTAATTTTGTGGAGTATTCGTAGATGTGGAAAATTTTCCGGGAGTAATATTCATCTATAAAGATAAAGGTCGCCTCTTAAGTCAAAACAGACGTCAAAACTAGATGCCACTTTGTCAGCTAAACACCTCTCTGGCGGATTGTGAAGTTTCCATTGAATCCCTTGTGGATCTGATGGAATAAAGTCCGCCCTAGGTTGACGAGGGCCATTAGCCCAAAACCATGGTCTCTAGGTGGACGCTTCTCAGTTTGCCAAAGCTGGTGTTGTGGTTTTGTCATCGACCCGAGGCCGCTAGTTTGCGGCGAAGATCAATAGATAGCGTTTAGTTTTGACGGGAGAGGTGACCTTTATCTTTATAGACTTTTATTTGCGTAAATATCTACATATATATCATATCTTCTCTGGGTTTCTTGCATTTGCGTTACGGCCTGTTGAAGGACTTCATAGTACAAAAGCTCGCTGTTTTTAAAATAAAGAAACACGTCGCGTTTACCTTTGGTCTCTTCCAACAATGATATTCTGCGATTCCTTTTACAATAGGTTATCTAGTCTAATAATGTATCACAGCCATCACTTCTTTAATTCCTGCCCAGAAGTCCAACCCCTCCTCTACGTGGCGGACGGGAGAAGCAGCCCAAGTAAGGGACTGCCCTGTAGTACGGTGTCGTGAGCCCCGAGCCGCTACGGTAACCGTGAACAGGGAACTCTGAAATGTGGCTGACTAATGGGGCAATGACACCCCCCTTTCCATCGATGGACAAGACACCAGCACCATTTCTTTCATTGCTCAAGAAATACTCCAAATTGCTGGAAATATAAGCCAATCAGTAGAGCATTCTGGTAAATTTCGCTGATGAACCCGCAGAGAGTTCACCGCTGATAACTTTTTTTCATATAAAAAACAAACTAAAACTCGATAGTTCCTTTAAAAATCGCAAGACGGTTTGAATAAAGAAGTTTATCTTTGTTTATCGTGTATATTTGTAGAAAAAATAGAAATTTATTGGAAACTTATTAAATAATAAAATAAAAGAACTTTCGAGTGTTCGATTTTACTTTTAAAATTTTCAAATAACTAATTAAAACGATGCTGCCTTGCAAGCTTTGTCAACTATTCTGAGTGGACATGTACCGACCATGATAATCATGATGGGTAGAGGTTTACGAATGGTCTTCACTGCATGTAGCATACACGTTTTCATACGTAAACGCATTTTGACATTGCAAATACGAAATATCAACGATTACTTGATTGCCAGCACTCATTGATAAATTTAACTTGACTCTGGGCCATTGGATTGATTCATCAATTTGAAATCCTTGCAATAACAAAGAGGAAATGTGCATATTGTGTAAACATATAGCTCGTTCGCAGTATGAATTGCTCTTTTAACTTTTCGACATTAATCCTTCTTTTCGGATAAATCATCAAACCTTACTGCAAATGATAGTACTGTTTTCTGATAGTACACTTTCATCCGAAAAGAGGCATTGATGGCAAAAAAAAAAGTAGAATTTAGTCGATAAGCCATTAAAATTGTATTTTTACTTATAAATAGCTTTGAAACATCCATGTGATGTTTATGGTATATATCTTGTATACTATCTTTGTAAAGGGGGATGGGGGGGGGGGAGGGTAAAACTACTGGAAAACTAAGGGTAAACTTACCTTTCTTGCAGGTCATTACAGGCTCATGCTTAATGGGAGAAGGAGCGGATACGTGGGCCTCTGCTGACACACCCCGTATATATGTTACATTAAAACTTTAATTTCATTTTAAATTAAAAATTCTATAACAAACTACTCTGTAAAATCGACCACCAGATGTCACCGCTTTCCCTATATAAACACATTGTTGTTGTTTCCCGTTGGCCGGCTCAAATCTTTTTGTAGATATGTAAATATGTATTATTTTATTTTCTTCTTTACGCCTCAAGTAAGGTATTACTTTATCACATTCAGTGGAATTGAAGTTGTACTTCAGGATCTCCGTGTTGAAAGGCATGTTAACCCGAAAGTTTGAGAAATAAAAGAAATAAGAAAAGAAACGAAACCCTTGATTTCTTTTTGAATAAATAAAAATATATAGACAATATATATATACAGACGTATTTATATACAATATATAATATTAAATACATATTAATAAAACAAGGAAAGGCTCGGATTATCAGCAATAGGATTTTTTCTTTCTCAAACCATTCTTCAGCATATAAACATAAGTTTGTACCCAAGTTCTTCGTATATACTGAGATTAACTTTCAAATAACCTTTCATAGATTTCATCAGCCATGCTTCTAACTCTAATCAGCGATTCAAATTTAAATATTCGGTTTATACGCCAGAAAAAAGGCACCATTCCTGTTAAAATTTGGTTCATCACCTCAGTATAGAACGTTATGGGGGAGATAAGGAATTTGCCAAAACACCAGTCTTTGGTAAATTTAGGTAAAGGTCAACCTGTATGTCATAATTTCGGACTATGACCTTCATCAGTATAGGGGCAGCTTCAATTTCATAGCATCCTACGAGAGAAGTTATTGAATCGTTCAATTTGCCTCGTATATTGTAACAGACTTTGTATTTATTTGTGTAAAATATTTAATTATTCTTTGATTTTTCTTTATATAGTTAGGTAGTCGGCAACACTGTACTTTCTTTTCTTTCTCTAATTTCGCATTAGATATTTTTTAATTTAAATATTATGGTTAACCTTGTTGTAATTAAATTAAATATTAAAACACAAAGTATTATAAAACGACGTTTGACAAGTTTTACCGCAAATGTTTCTTTTAAACGAAAAATTGAAATTCATTTTAAGGAGAAATAAAGACTATTTCTATCCTTAGGGATTAAGTATAAAAGGATGAATTGTGAAGAGTAATGATAAACGAAAAAATAAAGTGTCCAGGGATGGGAATCGAACCCACATTGTTCCGCTTACCGGGCAGATGTCATGTCCACTAGGCTACCCTGGACATATTTTTCCGTTTGAAAACATATTCATACTTCATTCCTAAGTATAGAAACAGTCGTTATTTCTCCTTAAAATAAATTACGATTTTTCGTTCGAAAGAAACACTTGCGGTAAAACTTGTCAAACGTCGTTTTACAATCATAAGCCGCATTAAATTGTTTTGCAAAGTATTGTTTCTATCCATTATTTATAAATAAGAAAATTTACATATATAACTTAGATTTTCAGGAGGATGGCATTCATGTAGCAAAAGAGGTTACTTCCTCTGTTGAAAATGCATAAAAACATCATATATATGCGAGGTGTGTTCAAAAAGTATCGCGACTTTTGAATTTTCGCGGGTTACGTATATTCGAATTTCGATCTTTTTGTGGCTTTATGTTGATACTCATGTCTCTCACTTATGCCGACAAGCTCGGCCATTTTGAATGTTCACTTAATTGTTGACAGCTGCTTTGCTTGCAGGTGTTTTGGATCGTCTTCTATTTTTGCCTATTAAAAAAAAATGGATCAAAGAACCTGTATCAAATTTTGTGTGAAAAACGAAATTAAGTGCGCGGATGCATTCCGAATGTTGACTGTGGAATACGGAGAAGCTACCTTGGACCGAAGCAACGTTTATCGGTGGTACAAAATGTTCTCAGAAGGCCGAGAAGATGTGAACGACGAAGAGCGTGCCGGACGCCCGAGAACTTCAACAACAGACGAAAAAATTAATGAAGTGGAGAAAACGATATTGGCCAATCGTCGAATCACCGTTAGAGAAGTTGCTGAGGACCTAAACATATCGATTGGCTCGTGTCATTCGATTTTTATCAATGATTTGAGCATGAGACGGGTCGCCGCGAAATTCGTACCAAAATTGCTCAATTGCGACCAAAAACAGCATCGCATGAACATTGCTAATGAGATGTTGGACTCTGTCCGCGACGACCCAAATTTGCTCCAGAGGGTCATAACTGGTGACGAAGCGTGGGTTTATGGTTATGACGTGGAAACCAAAGCTCAATCATCTCAATGGAAGCTGCCGCCCCAACAGTGAGTGCAAGTAACCAAACAGGGATATATCATATTTGTAAATGCAAAGTCGAACTGCTTTTTCACATATGTAGACATGTGGTGCACTTACAGTAAAAGCAATCTCCTTCTTCTACCCACCATGATTATCATGGCCGGTGCCACGTGTACTATGGATAAGCAAAATAATTATCGCCTTAAATACATGGAGAGACAACAAGAGGGATCATATTTAAATGATATTGAAGAAGAAAAAAGTCAGGGAGTAGAGCTTCTTTTATAAGACGACGATCGTACAAGCTTTCGGGCAAGACGTCCTTCTACGAGTATCTGCAGAAGGTCTTAGAATCTCTTCTCCTAGACTTGTGTTTCTTCTTCTATAGCAAACATGAAGATTATTGTTGCCTTGAATTGATATTTTCATCTAAATCAGATACAGTATAGAAAGTCTATTATGAGAGACCGGTTAGAAACATGGAAACTTGTCTTTGCTAGAGGTGGCTTCTCATCGATGTTAGGTCTTTTCTTATTCTGTAGTAAAGATCGTTCAGGGAGATGGTCGCTCATCAGATGGTCGTGGAAGGTTTATCTGTAGCTTTCAATTAAAACATTATAGATGGTGAAAAAAGAGTACAATAATGAAATCGTATTGGAATCACGTGGAAAAAATCAAGGAAAGGCATTTCTTGATCGTACAACTAAAAGCTGCTTCTGTCTTGCGCTATCTGTCGGAATAAATGATCAACTAATTGTTGATTTTTACTGACGATCATTTGTTGGTTGGAAGTTGATTCAGAGAAAAACACAGCCACATCAACCAATAGTTTATTTGCTGAGGACCTAAACATATCGATTGGCTCGTGTCATTCGATTTTTATCAATGATTTGAGCATGAGACGGGTCGCCGCGAAATTCGTACCAAAATTGCTCAATTGCGACCAAAAACAGCATCGCATGAACATTGCTAATGAGATGTTGGACTCTGTCCGCGACGACCCAAATTTGCTCCAGAGGGTCATAACTGGTGACGAAGCGTGGGTTTATGGTTATGACGTGGAAACCAAAGCTCAATCATCTCAATGGAAGCTGCCGCACGAGCCAAGACCGAAAAAAGCGCGCCAAATTCGGTCGAATGTGAAAGTTTTGCTGACAGTTTTCTTCGATTGCAGAGGCGTGGTGCATCATGAGTTCTTGCCACAGGGTAGAACGGTCAATAAGGAATATTACCTGCAAGTTATGCGCAATTTGCGCGAAGCAATCCGCCAGAAACGCCCGGATTTGTGGAAGAACAAAAATTGGCTTTTGCACCACGATAACGCCCCTGCTCACACATCGTTGCTTGTGCGCGACTTTTTGGCCAAAAACAACACACTAATGATGCCGCAGCCACCGTATTCCCCAGATCTGGCCCCCTGTGACTTTTTCTTGTTCCCTAAACTGAAGAGGCCCATTGAAAGGATGACGTTACGCTACGCTTGACGAGATAAAGACGGCATCGAAGGAGGAGCTGAAAAAGATTTTTAAAAAATGATTTTTTGAAGTGCTTCGAAGATTGGAAAAACCGTTGGCACAAGTGTATAATATCTCATGGGGATTACTTTAAATGGGACAAAATAGGTATTCATGAAAAAATAAATAATTTTTGAAAAAACACAAAAGTCGCGATACCTTTTGAACACACCTCGTATAGCATTAACCTTATATCAAGAATTATATCGTCATGTGAAGAGTAAAAAGCATAGCTATATATATGTATATAATCAGGAATTTCAACAAAATTTACAATATAACACAGTCTTATAAATGCTATCTATGACACCATCTATAATTTAGAAAAAGGCATCTCATGATCATGCAACTAAAAGTTGCTGATGGCTTGCGCCATTTGTCGGAATAGTTATCATCTATTTAGTTTATTTTTTAATTATTCCAGATAATTGGCCACAAATACCCATTCTTGATTTATCAATAAAATCTAACCACGTACCATTAATCATGAGTGGTAATTTGGCCAATTTTGGAAATATCAAAAATCAACAAAGCCATATCACCAATAATTTTTTCAACTCCCGACATTTCAGTGACTCCCTGTCACTCTCTTCAGGAGAATGAATGCTCTTGAAGAAAGTGACAGGAAGTCAATGAAACGTCGTGAGTTGAAATAAACTATTGGTTGATGTGGCTGTGTTTTTCTCTGAATCAACTTCCAACCAACAAATGATCTTCAGTAAAAATCAACAATTAGTTGATCATTTATTCCGACAGATAGCGCAAGACAGAAGCAGCTTTTAGTTGTACGATCAAGAAATGCCTTTCCTTGATTTTTTTCCACGTGATTCCAATACGATTTCATTATTGTACTCTTTTTTCACCATCTATAATGTTTTAATTGAAAGCTACAGATAAACCTTCCACGACCATCTGATGAGCGACCATCTCCCTGAACGATCTTTACTACAGAATAAGAAAAGACCTAACATCGATGAGAAGCCACCTCTAGCAAAGACAAGCTTCCATGTTTCTAACCGGTCTCTCATAATAGACTTTCTATACTGTATCTGATTTAGATGAAAATATCAATTCAAGGCAACAATAATCTTCATGTTTGCTATAGAAGAAGAAACACAAGTCTAGGAGAAGAGATTCTAAGACCTTCTGCAGATACTCGTAGAAGGACGTCTTGCCCGAAAGCTTGTACGATCGTCGTCTTATAAAAGAAGCTCTACTCCCTGACTTTTTTCTTCTTCAATATCATTTAAATATGATCCCTCTTGTTGTCTCTCCATGTATTTAAGGCGATAATTATTTTGCTTATCCATAGTACACGTGGCACCGGCCATGATAATCATGGTGGGTAGAAGAAGGAGATTGCTTTTACTGTAAGTGCACCACATGTCTACATATGTGAAAAAGCAGTTCGACTTTGCATTTACAAATATGATATATCCCTGTTTGGTTACTTGCACTCACTGTTGGGGTTGGACTTTTGCAAGAATCGGGGCTATTGGAGCATTTTTCAATCAGAAAAAAAGCCAAGGCAGGAATCGAAACCCGGGTCGTAGTGGTCGAAAACAAACGGTTTAGACCATCCTTCCACCAACGACCTTAAAGAGATAAAAAAAAAAAGAATGCTTATTATTAAAATATACAAGTATCAGAGTCATCAATTCTGTCATCGTTTGCTTTTGTGAATGTTTGTAAATAATGGATTTCATATTTTTTATTAATTTTTGTTCTGGCCTTTATTTGTTTAAATCTCTTTTTAAAAATCGTTTAAAATGTAGTCGCAATCATTAGCGAACACATATGTTTGCCTAATATTTCCATATGCTCTTTTATTTTTTTACAGAAAAATATTTACATGCCAGTATTTTGGATTAATTTTTTTATAAACCTTTTTTTATTATTATTCTTACTGAGAAGATGGGCATCGCAGTCAGGATTCTTTACAGTCAGTCACTCAACTCAGGCAATTTCAAAGGTTAATGGGGGTTTGGTGGAAAAGCGCTGCCGTCTATTTAAAATATATTAATTTTGAAACAACTAAATGGATTGCAAAAAATAATAAAATCAAATACCTAAACACTAATATAATAATACAAATTTTGTCATTACACACTTTTTTCCTGTAGTTTATGTGTTTCTTCTGTATCGCTATTCTATGGCACTTCTACTATTTATTATTGATGTACTTTCAGTATAAAGGATACTTCACTCGGGGGATTTCTCGGGCGAAGCCGGGTCATTCTTCTAGTACAATATAATATAATGCGGCTTGTGATTGTAAAACGACATTTGAAAAAGTACAGGGTAGCCCAGTGGACATGGCATCTGCCCAATAAGCGGAACACTGTGGGTTCGATTCCCATCCCTGGACACTTTATTTTTCCGTTTATAATTACTCTTCACAATTCATCCTTTCATACCTCATCCCTAAGTTATAAATAATCGTTATTTCTCCTTAAAATAAGTTTAGATTTTTCG